TCATTCCATCCCCTGCCATGGGCAGGGACACCTTCCACTAGCCCAGGTTGCTCCAAGCCCCGTCCAACCTGGCCTTGGACACTTCCAGGGATGGGGCTTCTCTGATCAACCTGTGCCAGCTTCTCTGATCAACCTGTGCCAGGACCTCACCACCCTCACAGGGAAGAATTTCTTCCCAATATCCAATGTAACCTACTCTCTTTCAGTTTAAATCTGCTATGATGCAGTGGGTTACCTTGGCTCTGTGCTCCAGCTCCCTCTTGCAGCACCAGCTGCTGCCTGTGTGGCTTCCCCAGCCCTTGCAGGGCTGTAGGGGACTGTTGGTGACCTTGGGGTCTAACGAAGTTGCTGGACTGAGTCATGTGGAGCAGGCTGGGACAGTGGGCAGGGCCGTGTTGCTGTGTTGCTCTGGCCATGTTGCTCTCACCAGTTTCCTGAGAGCAGAGGGGTTCATTTTCTCCACCACGCATTGGCTGGCACTGGGTTGGCTGTTCCCTCCTGGGGTTGGGATGCTCCCAGCTGGGAGGTTGGAAACATTTCGCTCTGACAATCATCTCCCTCCTCAGGGGTGGACCAACAGCATCAACCAGGACAGAAAGACGTCCCTGCTCGCCTGGGAGAAGGAGACCGGCATCGAGCTGGTGCAGATCAATGGGCAGCGGCGCTACGGGGGGCCACCCCCAGGTATGTGAGGGGGGACTCCCCCGGGTACGTGAGGGGGAACTCCCCCGGGTAGGTGAGGGGGGCCACCCCCAGGTATGTGAGGGGGGCCCCCCCCAGGTATGTGAGGGGGGCAGCCTGGCACCCTGGTGCCCTGTGGGCACAGCAGCTCTCCCCACGGGCCCCCCTGTCTGTGTGCCCACAGGCTGGGTGGGCGACCCTCCGCCCACCGGCACCGAGGTGTACATCGGGAAGCTGCCGCAGGACCTGTACGAGGACGTCCTGATCCCGCTCTTCCAGAGCGTGGGGAAGCTCTACGAGTTCCGCCTCATGATGACCTTCAGCGGGCTCAACCGGGGCTTCGCCTACGCCAAGTACAGCAGCCAGCGCGGGGCCAGGGACGCCATCGCCGCCCTCAACCGCTACCCGGTGCGCCAGGGCTGCGCCATCGTGGTGTGTTGGAGCACGCAGAAGCGGGAGCTGAGCGTGGACGGCCTGGCCGCCTCGGTGAGCCAGCAGGAGCTGGAGGCCACGCTGCAGAGGGCCACCCAGGGCGTCCTCAGCGTCACCCTGCACGCCAGCCCCCGCCAGAGACAGGCCAAGCTCGCCGTGCTCAAGTACAGCTCGCACCAGGCTGCTGCCCTGGCCAAGAAAGCCCTGATGGAAGGTGAGTGGTGCCGTGGGATGCAGCTGGGGCTGGGCTTCCTGGTGTCCCTAAGGAAGGGTTGATCTCACCTCCAGGCTTGGCTGCGAGGTAACTTCAGCCTTGAGACACCCCTTGTGTCTTTTGGGATACCAGCTGCTCTTGGTGTGGTTGATCCCGTATATCTACAAGTCCTAGGGGTGGTGGGATGAAGAGGCTGCTGGAGGTCTTCAAAAAGTTGCCTGCTCAGAGCGGGAACATCACCAGTGCCATTCCAGGGTATCCAGAGTGTTGACCAAGTTATTAAACCCTCCCAATGGAGCTCCCCTATCCCTCAGTATCCCTTAAACCCTCCTGATGGAGCTGCCCAACCCCCTCAGAGCTCCATCCCATGATTGCACTGGGACACCCTTCCCAGACATTCAACTGGGACCTTAGACCTCCAAAGTCCTGTTTTGTACCCGTTTGTGCCCCAGCTGAGAAGCATTTGGCTTTCGCATCTTGCACCTTGTCCCTAAAGCCAGGCTGCCCCTAAAATCCTGGGGATCACTGCAGCAGATGCTGAGGGGTGGGATGGGGTGATGCTGGAGGGCAGGTGAGCATGTCCTGTCTCTCGCAGGGAACCTGAGGCTCGGGGGATCGGGGATGAGGGTGGAGTGGCTGCACCCTGACCTGAAGCAGAAGCTGCAGCTGTGGGAAGAGAGGCCACCAGCCAGCCAAGTGCAGGAGGACAAGAGCCTGGCAGTGCCCAAGCCACTGGCCCTGCCTCCAGCAGTGCAGAACATGTTGGACCACCTGAACACCCTGTGCAGGAGGCAACGCCTGGGGACGCCCCTGTTCCTCACTAAGTGCATCCGGGTGAACCCCAACGGGTGGCTGCAGTTCTGGTACCAGGTGCAGATCCCGGGGTACCCCATGCCCTTCAGTGGGTTGACGTGGGTCCGGCAGGATGGGCAGGGCCAGAGCAGGCACGAGGAGGACAAGGCTGCAGTGGCGCTGCACATGCTCCGTGTGTTAGGTGAGCCTTTGGTGAGTCCTCCCATGGTGTCCGTGCCAACCCCCCACCTTTCCCGAAGTCCCAGAGTGTCTCCTGGGAGTGTGGAGTGTGTGTCCGGGGGGAGGACTCAGCCTGGCAGGCAGGGCTGAAACACTGTCCACCCCCTGCTAGATGGGACCCTGGTTGGCTCTGAGCTCCAGGTGGGATTCCTGATTGGAAGCAGAGGGTGCAAGAGGAGGGTTTGGGCTGAGAGCAGAGCCTGACGCTCCCCTCTCCACGGCAGAGTCCCAGCTGACATAGGGAGCTGCTCTGCTGGAGCCACAACTGAGCCTGAGTTACCAGCTGCGGTGCTGCCAGCGGTGTCCGAGCCCTGCCGGGGCCCCGGCCCTGTTCCAGCTTTTCTTTGGGTTTGTTTGCATTGTTTTTGGAGCTGGCTCTGGAGGATCAGGGCTGCTGTCCTGGTCCCCAGCAGCCACCCTGTCCCCAGCCAGCTTTGCACTGTTTTGGGCACATGTGTTTTTCCCCCCAGTTTGTCTTGTTTTACAATGGTTTATGCTGAGGTGGAGGAGCCCAGTGCATGTCCTAGAGGAGCAGCAGCTGCTTGGAAAGGCTGCCAGTGTTGGATGCCAGCACGGTGGACGTGTGGACGAGGTGAGGACAAGGCCACACACAGGGACCATCCTGGTGCCCACGGATGTTCCGTGGGCTGGAGGAGCTGCTGTCCAAGGAAGGGAGTGCCTGCGGGCTGTTTGCTGCTGCACCATGTCCAGGAAGCAGCCGTGGTCATTCCCGGCTGTCCATGAATGATTCCTCAGGACTGGGAGGTCCAGCCACAAGTTGTTCATTTGGGATTAAAGAATTTTGTACCAGCTGTGTCACGTCATCTTTCCCTCCTCCATCCTCTGCTCCCTGCCTGTCCAGTGTACCTTGGTGCTCTCCCCCCACAGCAGCAAGGGCAGGGAAAAGGACAGGGTGGGATTTGGAGCCTCCACAGCCTGGTGGGCTGCTCATCAAACCAGAGAGGGTCCCCTCACACCCCCACTTTGGGAGGGCTCTCCCATACTGGTGCAGTCCTGGCACACAGTGAGGCCACGGGTCTCCAGGCTGAATTCTACCACCCCCCTGAGTGGGATGGGACAGGTGGCTGCTGGGGGTCGTGGCTCCCCCCTGAATCCCTCCAAGGCCCCACTCACTGCAGGATGTGTGTAGTGATGATGGGGCCAGACCAGTCCCTGGAGCCTTTCCTGAATTCCCAACCCAGCTCCAGGCGGATGAATCCTGAATGGGGCACAAGGGTGGTGGGAGACCCAGGACACGATGGTGCTGTGCTGCTTCTCCCCGGCCCAGGAGGGACAGCAGGGGTCTGTGCCCCGGGATGGGGTCCTAGAGCTGTCCCAGGGCATTCTCTGTGTGTCCTGAGGGGTCCAGTGTCCATCCTGGAGGGTTCCATATCCATCTTGGGGGACTCTCTGTCCTTTCTTGACGGTCTGTGTCTGTCCCAGGGGTCCTGGATCCTCCAGGTCACTGCATTGCCAGTTCCACAGAATTAACATTTAGTGGAATGTTGAGAGAATCAGTCAAGAGGCCCAACAGATTTCTGGGGCTCTGTGGCCGCCTTAAGTAACAAATTGTAACACTCTTCTGAATAATTTTATATCCTGTATCCCCTGTGCATCCAGGGCCATATTCCAGAGCAGCAGTAAAGCAAGGGCTGTTCCTACATTGGTATTAACGAGTTTCGTTCCTGATTTTCAGCTACAGCTCCCCCAGCTCCTGCAGCACCTCTGGCCTTGTCCCATCCTATCCCAGCAGGTGCAGCCTCAGCTGCAGTCAGATTCCAGTTCTGGAGGTGGTCCTGACCCCTCTGCCCTCAACCCTCCCCGCTCACGATGCACATCTGGACCTACCAAGTCCCTTTGGCAGCACCCAAGCTCCATCCTCCTTTTCTTTGGAGACCCCCAGGATCCTCCAAGAGCCTCCTGGTGCACCCTTAGGTGCCTGTTTGTACTCCCTGGAGGTCTGTCTGGCCCTCCTGGGGCAGGACCCTCACCTGCTGAGGCAGAGCCGCACCAGGGGCACAAGGCGCTGGGAAGTAAAAGGCACTGGGTTTATTTGTAACAGAGACAACGTCTAAATTAGTTAACAAGGGCTAATTGCCCCTGGGGATAGCAGGGCAGGAAAGGGAGGGACCTGTTTTGCCCAGCCCAGGCACCCCAGGACCCCAGGTCAGCCCCTCACTCGTGAGAACTGCCCCGCCCCCCCCCCCCCCCCCCCCCCCATCCGTCCCAGGAGCCCCAAATACACCAGCAAACCCCAGAATTACCACCACCACCCCCGAGCTGCATCCCCACCAGGGGTACCCAGCCATATCCCCCCATATCTCAGATATCCCCCCCATATCCCCCCCCATCCAGCAGGGATCTTCAATCATGATGCTTTCCCTCCAAGCCCCCTCCACTAGGGACCCTAAGCCATGTCCCCCATCCCTGGGTCACCCACACCAGGGACTTTGTTGTGACACCCTCCCCTGAGTCACTCCCACCAGGGACCCCCATCCACATCCCCCCCCATCTCAGGGCCTCCCCATCCACCAGGAACCCCCAGCCCTGTCCCCCCCCCATATCTCAGAGCTCCCTCATCCACCAGAGACCCCCATCATGACCTTCCACCAGGGCTCATGTCCTTCCCAGTCCCTCTCACCCCAGCCATGTTCCCCCCTCCTAAGGACCCCCAGCAGGTCCCTCCTCTGTCAGGGACACCCCCCCTCCCTCGGGACCCTCAGCCGCCCATCCCAAACTTGCCCCCCAGTCTGGGGCCATCCCCGGGGCTCCTCGCACGGGGGCCTCCGAACCCCAAAACCGCGGCTGTACCAGGGAGCCACTGCGAGGCAACACCGTCCCGTCCCGTCCCGTCCCGTCCCGTCCCGTCCCGTCCCGTCCCGTCCCGTCCCGTCCCGTCCCGTCCCGTCCCGTCCCGTCCCGTCCCGTCTGCTCCTTTAAGACCCCGCCCACCGCCCACCTTGAGTGGCAGCCCTCGCAGCCAATCAGAACGCTCGAGCGCCGCCCACCAACGCTGTAGGATACGCGCTTGGCCGCGCGCCCTGTGGGCGGGCACTCCCGGAGACCGCAGATCTGATTGGCAGCGCCGCGCGGAGGGGCGGGGCGGCAGCGCTGAGGGGGCGGCTCCCCCGGCGCGGGGCCATTCAGTCACTGTCGCTGTCGCTGTCGCCTCCCCCCGGCGCCGCCTGCTCGGGCTCGTCGCGCAGGTCGGCGAAGAAATCCTCCCCGCTGCCCACCGCCTTGCTGCTGAGGGCCCGCAGCGGCCCGCCCCGCTTCTTCTTGCGGCGATAGTCGTCGACCACGAGCGAGCGCAGCGCGGACACGTCCCAGAACTTCACCTTCTGGTCGTGGGCGCTGCTGGCCAGGAGGGTCCCGCCCGGCCCCACGGCCAGCTGCTCGATGGGCTCGCCCAGGTGCTGCCCCACGCTCCCCACCACGCGGTTCGGCAGCACGTTCACGGCCCTGGCACCGCGGGACGAGGTGAGGGCCGGGCGGGGGGAATGGGGCACCACGGGCCCGTCTCCCCCCCGCGACCTGTGTGCTAGGCAGGGCCGAGCCCGTCATACAGCCTCCCCATCCCCTCCCACCCCATCCCCATCCTGCACTTCCCCATCTCCATCCCACTCCCCACAATCTCTCCATCCCATCCCACCCCCTTCCCATCTTATCCCCATCCCATCACAACCTATCCCACCCCCAACTCCTCCCCACTCCTCCCCATCCCACCCCCCACAATCCCTCTCCATCTCATCCCACCCCCTCCCCGTCCCACCCCATCTCCATTGCAATCCCCTCACCCCATCTCCATTCCACCCCCCTTCCGTCCCCATCCCACTCCCCAAAATCCCTCCCCATCCCACCCCATCTCCATCCCACCTCCCCACAATTCCTCCCCATCCCTGTCCATCCCACCCCACCCTGTCTCTCCACTCCCCCTGACCTGATGACCCCGTCCAGGGACCCCACACACACGATGCTGTCCGTGATGGGCACCATGCAGTCGATGGACTCTGCCCTCAGTGCGAAGCGGTCACTGGCGGCCCCAAACCCGTCCCAGTTGAAGAGGTAAATGGTGCCCTCACTGGAGCCACACGCCACTTTCCTCCCCCTCTGGGCACGTGAGGCAGAACAAGAAACTCAGAGCATGGACATGCATCCAAGGGATCCTGCTCCGTGTCAGGGGACAGCGCCAACCTTCAGCAGCACCACGGACGTCAGGTCCCCGTTCTGCGGCTCCGAGAGCAGCTCAAAGCGCCGCCTCTTCACGTTGTACACGCCCAGGGTGCCATCCCCGCTGCGGAAGGGACACACTGTGAGCAGGGGACACGGCACAGGGCGCTGCCCCCAGCGGACACGGGGAGCCCGACCCCAGGTACCTGGCGGTGAGCAGGATCTTCCCGTTGCCGTCCACGGCCATGGCACTGATGTATTCCTCCTGCTGCCGGGCCTCCAGGATGGCATCGCCCCTGCGCAGGTCCCACACCTTCACCGCTCCGCCGTCATCACCCGTGGCAAAGACGTGGTGGTCGATGGGCAGCACACAGTTGAGGGCCGAGCTGCAGAGAGCCCACGGTCATGGATCACACAGCGGGATAACCGCTCCCGGAGCACCGGGAACAACGCTCCGGGCTCTGCCTGCCCGCCTCCGGCAGGGAAGGAAAAGGGCCCGGGATGAGCCGCCTGTGCGGACCTACCCGTGGGCTTTGGGGAAGCGCGTTTCCAGCCGCCCCTCCTCCACCGTCAGGATGTGGATGGACTTGTCCTTGGACACGGTGAAAAGCTCTGGGGAGCCGCGTCAGTGCCCCCAGCCCCGCCGTGCCCCCCGGTGCCGCCCCACGCGCCCCGCACTCACTCTGCCCGTCCTGGGAGAACGCCACGTCCCGGCACGACTTGAGGTGATGCCCCGAGGACCAGAGCTGCCGGTTCTCCCCCTCGGTGCAGGAGTACGAGTACCTGCGGGCACGGGGAGTGCTCGCCGGGACCCGCGGGCGGTGCCGAGCGGTGCCCAGGGCCGGGACCCCTCCCCACGCCCGCGGCCCCACTCACAGGTACACATCGCCATCCACGTCCCCCGCGGCGAGCAGCGGCCGCTCTGAGTGCAGGGCGATGGCGTTGGCCGTGGCCTCGAAGCAGATGTCCTCGGGGGTTTCCCGCAGCCGCGGCTCCCGCGCCGCCGGCTCCTCCGAGGAGTCCTGGGGGCAGCGGGGCCGTGGGACCGGGGCCGTGGGGCTCGGGGGTATCGGGGTCCCGCAGCCCCACGCGTGCTCACCTCCTCCATGGCGGCCGCCATGGCACCCTGTGTTTTGCATGTCCACGCCCCTCGTTTGAATAACACCGCCTCTTTGTTTATGTAGGACCGCCTGCATTCCTCCAGGGCTGCGTGGACCGGCCCCGGCCCGGCGGGACTGCGGAGTGTCACCCGTTCAGGGTGTCACCAGCTCGGGGTGTCGCCAGCCCAGGCTGTGGCCGGCACCCCCCAGCGAGTTCCAGCCTGTGGGCCCTTGTGGCCCCATTTCACCAGGTCTCGCCTCCTCCGCCTCCTTTTTTTCGCTGTTCACCAGTGGCAGCCCCACGGGTTCCCCAGTTCACACCACGAGCCTCCTCTCACTGCGTCCCAGGGGCACTTTGGTTCCTTTCACAGCCCGAGGGGCCCCAGCCCAGCCAGGGGTCACCATCAACACCCCTGCCCTTGTCCAGAGGGGTCATCCCAGCTCCCTGCTGGCCCTGCATGGTGGGGACAAGCTTTGCCTGGTGCTGGCCCCATCACACCCACCCACAGCCCCCCCCAGCAGCTGTCAGGGCAGCTTGCACATCCCCTGCTTCAGGCCCTTCCACTTGCTGTACTCCAGATGAAGGTCCCCTTTCCTCCCCCTGTGCTGAGGCACGGGATGATCAGCTAGGATTATTGCCCCCAGATAGGCTTAATCTGTTAATTTTATTCAGGGGTGCTGCCCCCCACCCCAAAAGTCTCCCACAATAAATACCCTTAGCCAGGGTTTGCCCTGTCAGCCCCAAGAGTGCCTGGTAGGTGGAAAAGAAGTCCTGGCATCCCTGCTGCTCCAAGGCCAGCTCAGGCACCTTCTCCTGCCCACACAAACAGAGGCTCAGGCAAACTTCTTGTAACTTTATTAAGGGTACAACATTTACACTGCACAGGCTCTACAGAAAAGAGTGGAGAGAGAGGAGAGCCCCCCAGCCCAGAGCAGAAAGTTGATGGTGTGTGGGTCAAGGAGAGCACACCAGCACACTCTGGGAACAGCACCCAGCAGGATGGGCTTCCAGGAATGGGAGGAGGAGATGCTGGAGACATCAGTACTTGGGACGTTTCACTTCAACCCTGGAAGACAGAGAGGGGCAGGAGGGTGGTGAGGATGCAGGGCAGGCAGCTCCATCACCCTCCCATCCAGAGTTCAGCACAAGGGACCACAGTTTAACCCCACAGAAGGGTGAGGGGACCCCAGGAGGGCCCCTGCAGCTGAGCAGACACAACTGTACTGACCCATCAGCCTCCAACTTCTTCCTCTTCTCGATGATCTGCAGAGAAAGCACAAAATCCCATGACCCTCAGGGAATGTGGCTGTTCACAACCTCAGCAGAGGGGCTGGAGGGTCCCAGATACACCCAGATAACTGGATCCAGCCCAGAACGAGCTGAGCTGAGCTACAGTTGGAGCAGCTTGTTCCCCCTTTGCTCCTTGTTGGCCACCACAGACCATTTGTTCTCACCTTGTCCATCCCATCCCATACTCTCGGGGTGCCCATGGCCAGCTCATCCTGCCAGGACAATCCCCAGCTCTGCCACCTGGCAAACAGGGAGCCACCAAACATGCCCTGTCCCCTCCAAGCCCCTTTGGATGGCTCCAAACTTATAGTTTTGGCACATTCATCTTCTGCACAGCCCAGAGCAAAAAACCCCTGACTGAAGCCCCAAGTATTTGGCTGATGCTCTTGCAAGGAGCAAATCCAACTGCTCGAGAGCTGGCCCTGCTGCACACACACCCCAGCAGTGTGTGGCTGGACCAAAGAGCCATGACTGGGACAGTGAGGGCAGGACTAGCTGGGAGCTGTCCTGGGCTACACTGGCAGCTTGTGGATGAAGTCCCCAGGCCCCAGCACCAGGCACTCACCGCACTGATTTTCTTCCACTGCCGGTCCAGCTCTGCCTTGTCATTCGTCTCCTTGAAGCGGCGGGTTTTGCGCCCCTCAGACATCTTGATCCCATACTGGAACGCTGCCCTGGGGAAGGAGCAGGACAGCTCAGTGCTTGCAGGGAATTCACAGCCTGCCAGAGGAAAGGATGCGTCTCCCCAGCCATAAACACACACTCCAGACCCGGCCTGGGCCCCTGAAATCAGGGCTGGAGTCCTCGAGAGTGATTCCAAGAGCAAAGACAAATCACCAGGCCCTGGACCCACAGCTCCTCCTCAGGGCCTCACCAGGGCACACCCATCTTGTTTAAGTTCCCCCAGCACCCAGGTTTGGCCAGCATGGCCACCCCACCCACAGGGGGTGGCCCTTCCCAAGGGCTGCACTCACTTGGGCAGGGCCTCCTTGTTGTTCATGTACTCGCTGTACTCCTCCTGTGTGTCGAAGTCCCAGCGGCCCAGAGGCCCCTTCTTGTTACCCTGCAGGGAGAAAACAAGTCAGAGCAGCTCCTCAGCGGCTGCTGGTCAGGGCTTCTGACACAGCCCCTATGTGCCCAGCCACAAGCTCAACCTCCCACCACCCTTGGCTCTGGATCCCCTCCCTGAGAAGCTCCAGGCAGGAGACATTCAACACCCAGCTCCAGGGCTTTCTCTCTCCCATGGGATCCTCAGCCAGCACTAGTGCCCAGTTTGCTGGCTGCTCCTAAAGGCTGGTGACAAAATACCTGATCCATTTTGCTGTAGTCCACTTCTTCATCGCTGTCCACGGCCATATCATCCATTCTGGGAACAAAAAAGCAAGGAAAGGGTTTAGAGTGGGTCCACGGGACATAGATCAGGACCTTTGAGCTGGTGGGAGCCCTGTCTTGTGGCCTCAGACCAAATGCACTCAGTTCCTGGACCAGAGAGAAGAACCCCCAGGGCTGCAAGCCCCGCAGGTGAGCTGTACCACAGAGCACTCCAATGCTCCCAGGATGACTCTACAGGCTGAAAGCTCTTCCTCTTCCACTGAGGGAGGCCAGAGCTCCAGATGGATTACCAGAGAATTCAGCACATTCCCAGCCACTTCAGCCTCTCCCAGGCTGTGAAGGGCTGCAGCTCCAAGCAGCTATGTACAGCAGGGAGCAGCTAAGGAAAGGCCATGTCTGCCACAACCAAAGACTGGGGGAACATTTTAACAGTCGACTGTAACCACAGATAAGGCCAGGCCTGCTCCCCCAACAAGCAGTGAGGCTGATGTTCAAGTTCCTGCTGCCAGAGAACAGCAGCCCCCCTGCACACCCTGATCCCCTCTCCACACCCCACTCCCACCCCGCAGCCTCCCACTGTTCCTTACGTGGCAGGGTAGCACTCGGCATAGCTGTTGGACATGCCAAAGAAGTCTCCCAGCTGCTTCTTGTCCTCTGGCTTCTTCAAGGTGACAATAGTTAAGGAAAGCACTACCACAAGCCCTACAGCTACAGGCTGAGCACAGCCAGCTGGAAAACCACCTCCTGCCCCAACACTGCCGAATTGGAGGGTGCAGAGTTTACATTTGGTGTAGGAACAGCAAGGTTTGGGCAGCATTTCCCTGCTCCCAGGTGAGGAAAGACAGTCCCACAGCCATGCAGGGGCAAGGCCTGCCTGCAAGGGCAGCCTGGGCCCACACTCAGGCTGGCATGGACAGTAAAGGATATGCCTCTGCTCCTTCCCAGCCAGCAGCTCCAGCAAACTTCTCGTTGATGGACTTGATGAGCTCCTTGGCTGAGCCAGGTCCTGGGGCAGAGAGAGCAGCAGGTTAAATTCAGGGGGAGGAACAGGTCACTGCAATAGACATGGAGCTGGGCAGAACCTCCCTGGGACAGGGTAACAGGCAGGACAGGCTGCAAGTGAGGTAGGAGAGCAGCAGCAAACCAGTCTGGCACAGACTGGGGAGGGCTGATCCCAGGACACCTGGAATGTTAGAATGGTTGAGGTGCAAGGGACCTTAAAGACCATCTCATTCCTCCCCCTGCCATGGGCAGGGACACCTTCCACTAGCCCAGCTTGCTCCAAGCCCCATCCAACCTGGCCTTGGACACTTCCAGGGATGGGACATCCACAGCTTCTCTGGGCAATCTGTGCCGGGGCATCACCACCCTCACAGGGAAGAATTTCTTCCTAATATCTAACCTAAATTATCTTTTAGTTTAAGACCATTCCCCCTTGTCCTATTACTTCTCTGCCCACAAAAAAAGCCCCTCTCCCTCTTTATTATAAACTCCCTTTAGGCACTGGAAGGCTGCAATGAGCTCTGCCTGGAGCCTTCTCCCTGGAATCCTCCTCAGCTTACAGGCAGCATGAGCTCTGCTCTGCTGCCTCTGCACATTCCACACACACAGAGGCAATTCCCTCTGTCACAGCAGTTCTGAAATCTCCAACCCTGTACAATGTCTTTCAGGTGTCCACACCACTTGACTCACCTTTGTCGATGTCTGTGGGCTGCAAAGAAGAGAGAGAGACACAGTGTTAGCCGTGAGGGCTGAAGGCAGACGAGTGACAGTGCTGCATGATGTGCAGCTCTGCTTTCAGACTCTGTTCCAAGCCTTCAGAGCTGAACTACAAACACTACAAGGTTTGTGCTAGTCCTGCCTCAATTGCTGAGAGACAGGACAAGCACCCAGCTACCCACCAACCCCTGGGGACAGACAGAGCTCAGCAAGAGCTGACACTGTCATGTGTAGGGGCACCCAAAGCCCTCAGGGTGACCTCCCAGCCCCACAGCCATGACTCCCAAAGGGCTCAGGTGGGACCGTCCTTCCTGAGCAGAGGCTCACCTCATCATCAGCCTTGGGCTTCTCAAAGTAGCTGTGCCTCTTCTTCTCCTCCTCCCTCTCCCGGTCCCGCTCCCTGTCTCTCTCGCGGTCCCGGTCGCGCTCTCGGTCTCTGTCGCGCTCCCGGTCCCTGTCACGCTCTCTCTCCCGGTACCTCTCCCGTTCCTTGTCCCGTGGCATCTTGGCAGTGGAGGGCACATAATCCCCAATGTCTTCAAAGATGCTACAAGTGGGAAAGAGCCTGTGGTTATGGGTGCTGCAGGAGGAGAGGCCACAGTCACCTCCCTGTGACCTGGACCCTGGTAACAGAGCACAGAGCACGAGCACCGAGAGCTAGGAACAGCAGATGTGGAAGTGGCATCCACACATGTC